GATTTTGTTTCTTGCAGCTGTAAAAAATTTGAATTTATGGGGATTACTTGCCGCCATATTCTCATATGGATGAGGCTCGAGCAAGTGTTGTTATTGCCAGAGAAATATATTCTTCATCGCTGGACAAAGAAAGCAAAGGTAGACCCTATTTATAAGCCTGCAACTGATTCATTTGTTGGTAAGAAATTATGGACAAGGCGGGTAAAGCTAAGGTTGTCTGCTTTCGAAGTTGTTGACATGGCATCCTTAACTGAAGAACGAAGCAACTACTTCGCAGGGGTCTTAAAGGGTGCTATGGATCACCTTGCACATATGGACGATGGGGGGATGAATACAAGTCATCCATCAACATCGTCTTCCCACTCGCCAAAACTTTCTGTGAAAGATCCGAAAATCACAAAAATTAGAGGTTCAGGTTCACATCTTAAACACCCATCTAAAAAGGCTAGACTTTGTAGAAAATGCAAGAAAAGTGGCCATAATGCTAGATCATGCAAAGTTTCACAGCCTGAGAGGTGAAAATTTGACTTTGTAGTGAACATTTTACATTTAATTAACCAATAATTTTATTCTTTATGTTCCATCCATATAGTTTAAAATATTTAATATAGTAACATGTGCCGTTATTGCAGGTCTCAAAGTTGCAACCAACAATTTGATCTCAATCTGCCAGATTTGCAATGTTGAAGCATGATAAAAAGCACTTCTGCTGGCGCAGGCTGAAACTCAAATTTTGTATCATGATGCTGCATTGCTGCTATTATTTTACTCTTGTGTTATGACAATTTAATGATTGATTCATTTTACTGCTTCTGATCGAGTTATTATTACATGTAATGAGATTGGCAGTAAATGTAAATGCCAGACCAATAATTTGCTGCTTTGACGACATTAGATAATTTCAATTAAGTGCTTCATTTTTGTTGTGATTCTACTGCTTCTGAGTTATTATTACTTCATACGGAGTACTTTGCTGTCATAATGTCATACTTGAAATCTAGCTGAGATAATTTGGTCCAAATAAATTATGTAATTCTGAGATTCAACTTATATCGTTAATAATAATAAAAGTATTCATATCATCTTGTTGAATGTAAACATGGATTTTGATCAATTGTGCATGGATCAATATCTAACAGATATTATATGTTAAAGTAAGGGCTACACAGATTCAAGTTGCTTTGGAAATGAAGTACGAATAAATTAACTGAACTGACCTGCACTACAAACCAATTCATATAACAGTGAAGTGCCTTGGCTATTTCCAGAAGCTCTCTGTTGTTCCTTCTATGTGCTTTACAACTCTTTTAGAAGCACTCTCCCCCAACTCAATCATGAACGGCAGATCCATATGATTAGAAATAAGAATATAAAAGTTATGGTGCAGTGGTACCTTAGCAAATTAATGATGCAAATTAAAGCTTTGTGTCAGTTTTCCAAGTACAAATTAAGCCATAACATTGTTTATGTTAAAATTCATCAAATAATGGTGCAGAAGAACAAGTGTTTTTGCACCATAACTCACCCTAAAGTTTACACATATGCTCATCGGAAATGCTCTATTTATCTCATGGTTTCAATTAAAACAAAAAGTGTAATCCACATAGAGCAATGCACGCACACAAGAATTTGTTCATAAACAGCTGAGAAGAAGATTCTAAAACATTAAGGAAACAGAAAAGTAAATTATTAGTTGCAGATCTTCGATTTACAAAAATACCACTTATCATTGATTCATCAGACGAATTATAATGCGACAATTTTGTCCTATCCATGGAGTGATGGTGGATCTTTCTATATCATCTCTTTCAGAACTTCTTCCATCCGAATCATCAAACACTGTTGGGAAAAAATCTCTGCCTCTGAGTTCTCTGGCTCTTAAATCTCTAGGGAACTTGGGAGGTGAATGTATTTCCATGAACAATTGTTGTGTTGGGGTCTTTTTCTCAGGAGAGTCATTCATGTTCATACTAGGGATCCAAGAATCAGAAGAAATTGCAGAGGGATATGTCATATTTGGATAATTTTACTTCAGGTGGTGATGAACGGTCAAAGTTACGCCTAAGGGGATTTTTTTCCTCAAAAAAGATGGCTCCAATATGACCTTGCTGGAGAGCCAATCCAGTCCGATGCAGAGAAACAGACAAAAAGTGAGTACCTTTGTTCACTTCTTCTCCACCAAGCACGGAAGTTTAAGGACAACTGTAGCCTGCATGTCGGTAGATAGCCAAGGATACTCCAATTTGATCCGTCCTCAGCTGGAGGCATCTATCCCATCCCGATCTCAAACCGAGACGGCGGCTTCTCTATCCAGCTTCGACACGTACGGCAGCGTGAAATTCTTCTTCCCCTCCGTGAAGTTGGTCGGAAAATATACCGGCAGATTAGATAAAAAGATATGCGGAGAAATCAGAAATGTTACTCCGTAAGAATTAGGGAGTACTCCGTATTTTGCAAAAGGGGAAGTGTTGGACGCATAAATAATTAAACTCTTTTAATTTAAATGCCACGTGGAGTAGCGTGCAGTTTAAGGAGCAAGTGACGGGCTCGTTAAAATTTTCGTCGATTAGTCTACTCTACTCGAATATGTTAGAGAATTTTTATGATGTCCAATTATGTTTTATATCTGTGTATTTGTGTTGTGACATTTTAATTAATAGACAGTGAAAAACTTTATATTAGGGCCTATATGTCTCTTTCATAGGCTAATATTGTAATGGATCTAACCCTTAGAACCATAAAGTCTGAGGCTAGGCACGTAAACCCTAAGAAATGTAGGTAGCAAAGTAGGCCTTCACGCACATATTTAGAGAGAATAGAGAGCATTAGAAGTTTTCATATCTTGTACTGAAATTCTTCATCATTCTTGCATTGAATCAGAGCTTTATTTCTTCTCTACTTTGTTCGTATCATAGTTTGATTGTTGAAAACTGTTTTATCAATTTGTATCACGGCCGAGGCTTGAAACATATCGATTTTATCTGCATTTTTTGAACCTATCATTGATGAAGAAGACTTGATACTAAAAAACTCTTTTGGAGTTTTGATTGATTTGTCATTGACGTTATTCTATGACTTTTGGAAGAAAAGGACCAAAATCGGCTAATATCTTGTTGCTGGAGAAACTTTTATAATCGCCGGTTGTGGATTCTACGAAATTGTGTGTCATCATTCACATGCGCTGAATTAACTAAAAATGGGTTCCTAAATCAAAATTGCATTCATGTAGCTCTCCCAAGGCTTCAAAAGAGACAACTTTTTACGCAAAAAGAGACTGATTTAGGAACAAAAAAAAGAAAATCCAATTTGTTTTGAGCAAAAAAAGGGATAAACCTACCCTGAAATGGGTACCAAAGGTTTCTTAACCATATGTAAGTCTGTCATGTGTTGCATCTGATCTTGTTGCTCCACACACGTGGTGAGTATGACGAGTTATGAGCAATCAACCAGTGCATATTATGAAAGGGAGTATTGGCATGTATACTCATTTACTACCTCATGCACTGAGCGGAAAATCATCAAATGCACACTTCAGGGGGTTCATTTTCTCCTCCTAAGACCCAAAACACGTCAAACAACAAGTGCATATTCTGATGGAAGTGTTTCTTTTAATTTTCACTCCTCATAATGCCTTATCAGAAAGAAAGCACATTTCAAGGGGGGTTTTCTACTTTACACCCCAGGTGACAAACAACACCACTCGCACAATATAATGCAAGGATTATCTCAAGAAAGCAGATATTAGGGGGGGTCAATTTCTCATCCCTGGTGCCAAACAATGACAAAGTATACCGAGTGTTCCAGTTAAGGGGGAACAGAAAGAGAAAAGAAAGAAACATCAATGAGAAACAAGTCACAATGATTTAGTAAATCTAACAAAGCCTACGCAATGGATAAAACTGAGAGTGAGTGAGTGAAGGAGTGAAAACTATAAGAGAGAGAGGAAGCAGAAGGCTCATGTGAGCAAGAGAACAATAATCAAAGATAAGTCCCCTACCTCAAATGCGCTATCAATCGAGGAATCAATCCTAGTCACTCAAATACTCCGAACAATCCTAATAGGTTCAAGACTGAATTCATTCGAATCCCGGGTAGAAGTCATCGCATCTTGTCCACCGACGCAAGCACAAACCTACTCCAGACCACTCATATGTCTCCCAACAGACAGCCGATTAATCACATTCATGGGCAACCTCATCTTTTATCACTGTCTCCTTCAGAAAATACTGATACAGACTACAACCAAGCATTCTCGCCCAGCTGGTTGTGAGGTTACTGTGTCTAGTGGGAGATCTCGAGTTCGAAACCCGCTATCCACATAAGGGTTCGAAACTCAATGGAGTGAGTTTCAGCCCTGATTACTCCAGGCCCCCTCCCGTAGAACCCTGGAGGAGATACCATGCAAAAATAACGTGATCCACGAGTGCAGACACCAGCGGATCCTCTGCCATCAACTCCTTCATCATCTTCATCTTTGAGACTCAGCCTGGCGTACAAATCTTCCATGTCACTAGCCATGCAGATAGAATAAAAAAGCAAGTATCGGAAGAGCCACGTGAACAGTAGAACGAAAACGGTGAATTGTAAATTGTTTAATTGAACCATTATTATATACTTCGTATATTGTTTAAAATTACTACGTATATACTTGTAAAAAATTTAATGAATTGTTTCAACAACCAATATTGAAACAAATTATTTAAAAGTATTTCCATATTATAAATTAATACTACGTACTCCCTCCGTCCCATAATGGTTGTCCACTTTCAATTTGGCACGATTATTAATAAAGTGGTTGAAAAGTAAAAGTTGTGGTTGAGATTTGAGTAGAATAAAGTGAATTAATAAGAACCACATATTTCATGCCAAAAAAGGAAACAAGACATTCATTTTGGGACAACCCAAAAAGGAAAGTAGGACAACCAAAATGGGACAGAGGGAGTATGATTTATGAATAACTAACCGTCAAAGTTATCAAAAATTGTTAAATTGTCCTCAAAAGTCAAGAAGTGATGTTTATTATGCGATCGATGTAGTATATAAAAGGTAACATGGTATAAAATCTATAAAGAGAAAAAAAGACTAATTGGACCTCATTGGCTCATTATCTTAAGCGACAAAGTGCAATGGAAAAATGCTTTGCAAGTATAGTTGTTAGTTACCCACAAGGCCACAAAGTCCACAACTCCACAGACCACAACATAAATATTTTACGTACAAATATTAACACAGTGAAGTGAAAACTAAAATCGAGTCCATAATCAGTAGTCACATGATCAGTTGACACTAAGTTAAACATCAGAAGGCAGAAGCTAATTCCTTTTTACTGAACTCAGAAGCTTGCATCTTCTGTTGTTGGTCTTCTGAGGAAATAGCGCAGGCTGTTTTCAAGAACCTGAAATGTCGGTTTGAAACCGCTAGTAAATTATATGTAGTACTACGTAATTGTAATTGTATGTTCGTATGATAACTCTAATAACTCAAAACTATGATACATATTGTTAACCTGTTGAAGGGGCTTGAAGAGAGCTTTACCCCTGTAGCTGGCATGAAATTTTGCTTTAGCCAGCAATCCCTGATGAGTAAGTACCGAAAGAAAATCAGCTTAAAGTCTTCATAATATAAAATCTAAAGATTATCAGTCAAAATGGTTTGCATTTTGGAATGCCAGTTATGACTTTTGACGAGCCAAATGTCCAATATTACTCCAATATTATTAAACAATGCTCATGGTGAAAAATATGACTACTTTTTATATATTCCAAAAAAGGACTATATGTGCCACTTCTTACGACACTGCACGGCCATTAGTGATACTGCCCCACATCTCAGTGTCACTAACTCGATGAGTTTTCCCAGCAACTTTTCCAAGGATATTTCATAGGCCGGCGGCAGACAATTGGAAGGTTCGTGTGGTAGACAGAGAAAAATATTGGGATGGAATCAGGATCGGGATAAATTAGTCCTAGTTAGGTCACTTTTCTGAAAATTTTAAGACATATTTTGTTCATTGAAAAGCTAGGAGGTATATTTTGGTTTTTAGGTAATCCATTCATAATATATTTATATAGTCTATACCTCTATAATGAAATATCATTTCAAAAGTATATTATCAGTCAAAGTTAACAAATTTTGACTCAAAAGTAAAATGAGGAACTTTAACTAGGCATGGAAGGAGTCTCTTAATCCATGTTAATCCATACCTGATCTCACAATGTTGCAATATAAAAACAGACACTATATAAGCATTAGATGAGTACTAGTACAGTAAGCATCATTGTTTATAACTTAGTGTTGTTACCTCAGTTTCAAATTCTCCAGACTCAACATCAATGTTTATGTCAGCAATGGTCTTTACAAGATCAACTAATAGTCCAGGTCTATCTACTGTCTCTACTCGAAGTAAGCTGTATAAATATAAGACAAACATGTCTTAAATCATCCATTGAATGCACACAAAGCTTTTGCAATGATTGCATCAAATCCACTTTAATTTAAAACAGAAACTAACCTCCGTTCAGGGCCGTCATCGTACACATGAACATGGGTCGCTATATCCACATCAACCTGATCATTTTGTACGAAACACATCAAAAGATTTGGACTTGTGTGGATAAAATGGCAGAAGTGTAGCCTCTTTGTTATGGGATAATAGAGTGCAAGTTCGTTGAATATTAGTTAACAGTGATGTTTTACATGATTTTTCTATTTATATTTTTGGGTTCACCCCCCCACCTCCCGCAGAAAAGACTGCTGCCACACCCTTATTGTCCGTTGATTATTATGAGTGACACTTTTAATACTCTTTTTGAACTTCCGAATAGTTAAAGGACCGTAAGTGCCACCATCCTAATAGACAAAGAACCAAAAATGAAGTCAAGACGGTGCTAAGAGACACTCCTGATTATATATTTACATGCAAGAGACATATGAATTAAGCACAACAATAAATTTGTGGACCTTCGTATATGGTTGAAAAACACCAAACGCCTCCCCCATTGCTAACTGCGAGCTTGACTCCTGTTCCAGAATTTAATTGTAGATTAAAATGTATCCTAGGAGTTTTACTCATTACAAAGATCTGCTATACAAAAATACACTACTCGTTTCATACTGGGTGGTACTGAAGCATATTGTTAATAATAGTCAAACGTATAGCCTCAAGCAACTCTGGATCCTCAATTTTCTTACCTGTATAACTATAAAGAATACCAATACATAACTGTCAGAGAAAAAGAGGCATCACAAGCAAGTAGACAAATACTTTGAAGCAAAAGAGTATTCTGTTTGTTAGATAAGTTTATATAAATGTACAACTTTTGTTACTTCACATGGTTGAATATTACCAGGCCATATACAATGTCAATTCTTACTACTTACTCATTAACTCCGCCCCCTTATTTTAGGGCCTAGACTCTGAGTAGGAGGTTCAGTGGCCATGTTGAAGTTTCTGATCCATGGAATTCAGAACATGAGAAGTAACCTTTTATTCTTAAGACTCATATGGGTATCATAACCTTTTGTAATTTTAAAAGCTATGTGATACAAGTTGTATGGTAAACAAATAAAAATTAGCAGTATTTATATTATTCATGTTAATTTTGAAAGCTTCTAACTTTATCTGATATCCATAAACTTGCTTCTAATTGGAAAAACAAACTGAAAACGATGCAGATGAGTAGGCCCTAAACTACAAGATCAGAAAGACTAGTAAAGTGATCATAATTACTGGTAAAACACACTGTATTGACTTACAGTTCAGTAATAGCAAACTTGTTATGCCTTCCTGATGAATCTAGATAAGTGTTTGCTTTAACAACGCTCAGTCCAAGATTTTGCAACGCACTCATCTGGACATTATTTGGTGAACTAAGATATGTATTCTTCAGGAAAATATGTAAAGAACAAATTCAGTTTTATAATTCGATGTATGCAAAATAAGAAGCACTTGCAAGTTGCAACAACGTCACATTGAACCAGGAGAGGGTTATAGAGGACAAACTGTATCAAGCAGTGTCCCGAGGCGGTCACCAAAGGTAATCTCAACTAGAGTTGAATCCGGATCAGAATCAAGATCTATCATCACTTTGGGTGTCGGGATGTCTGCAATTGCTGAGAAACTCTTATCCTAAGCATGAACAAGCAAACCGCAAAGAGGCAAAAATCAGGATTAAGTTAGTGTAAATAAAACCCATGACAATAAGCAAATTCTAAACACCTCGACAACAGCTGAAGGTGTTTTAGGAATGATTGTACTTGCAAACAATCCCGACCTGTCATAGGATACATTTAGATTGAATTCCAAGACACTTTCACCAACTAAACGCTACTAATCTCAAAAGTGTTAAATCATCCACTTATGTCAAATATAAATAAAATAAACACACATATAAGATCTATCCCAACCCATCTTTTTAAATAATTCCCTTCAAATGAAACCCAAGTTAGAAGTCGTTTAAGCGAGCAATTCAATCGGATTAAAACTCAAAAAGAAAAGACATTGATTTTGACATTGTTTTGTTCCAATGAGCCCCCTTCTTGTCTTGTGGATGCATGTTAAGACTTCCATATTGACAAAGTATCCTCCTAATCTTAATAAAAAGGCATCCAATTTAGGTGCTACAATTAAAAAAAACTGATCTTTGTGATGTAAGAAAATGCTCAATTTCTTCATAGAAGAGCTTGATTATAACATCCACCACGCCATAAGTAAATATATTGCCAGAGAAATGGAAACTCGGTATCTCAAAGAGACCACGTTGTAAAGAACTCAATTTGAACCAATTTCCTCATTTTAACTACCAGGAAGTGCCCTGAAATTACCCAGAGATTATTAAAAATTCAAGAAAACGATATATTTGCATTACCAAAGCCAACATAAAACAAAAGAAAAATTAATGATGATAAAACTCAGGCGCAGGAGGGGAACTTTTACCTCCTGGGCGGAATGCAGACACTGTGAAATGGATCCACAGCAAAAAAAACGTCTGGAAATACCATGACCAGATAAGGCTTGCTTTTCAGTTACTTTCAGACCACCGCAAAGCCCAGAAAATTTCCCACAAGAAGCCATAGCTACAGACATTCCTTAAAGAAGAAGTGAAGAACTGTGAAAAGAAAAAGGGTTTCAAGTATAAAAAAGCATTGCAGGGATAAGTGTAACAGGGTAGCGTTGCTTGTTTCAGTAGAATACGCCATTATCATGACGAAGTTGTGAGGAAATAAGGAAAGTGGAGACCCACTTATTCCGTTCCTTATGATATCGTGAGGTGTATTATTGCCAAAAATATTTTAAATATTCAAATTTAAATAATTTAAGGTATTGTTATGGGCAAAAATAATTTAATATTCTAAATTTCAGTGGTAAGTATTCTAAATTTGAATTTTTTTTAATATATGAAAAACACGCTGAAGTTTATATAAAAATTTATCTTAACAGGAATGTAAACTTATAGTGTTAAATTTAAAGGGATAAAGATCAAAGTAAACACTATAATTATATGAGAACTTCATATTGGATATTAGGGATTCAAATTGACCAAATTAGATACTATGGTTACATTTGTATCTCATATTGGATACTAAAATTTCAAATGGATCAAGTTTAATGTTCTAATTTTTTTTGGACACCCATCAAAGATTTTCACCTTTGAAAGCTACAATATTCATTACTCCCTTTGTTTTATGTACCTCAAAAAATAACTTAATTCTTGTATTTAGATTTAGAATATATAATTAGATGTTCCAAGTAAGAAAATCTATTATAATGTAGTTGAATTGTTTAATATTGTTAAATCGATTTAATAAAACAATATTTCCCAAAGTTCCATAAAAATCATATGGATGAAAGATCCTAAATATATTTTTAAATTGTTAAATATATGAAATTATTAATTAATATAAAAATATATATAAGTTTAACGTCGCGGCTCTCCCTCTTGGTAGGGTTTTGAACTTCCACCGAGTTTGTGCGGTCAGGCTTGGCAATCGGAAGACGGTGTGAGGTTATGGTGACGGGCGAATTCCAAGCGCATATTAGTGTCGAACAAAAGGACAAGGACGAACTGGTGATCGATGATGAAGAAGAAAAGGCGGAGGAAAACCGCTTTGGTGCGTCAACAATCATAGTGATGGTCGGGCCTCCTCCTGAACCACCACCAGGGGTTGAACGGGGTGCTAGGGTTCAAGAAATTTATTTTGCTTGCTTTGTTTTCTTCATGCTTTGTTTTTATTTAGATCTTTATTCTGTTTTGGTTACCGTCCGCCCTAGAACCAGACTTAGAATTAATTACCACCGTAGAAGCAATATAATTCGATGAACCCGCTTTGAGCTTACCTGAGCCAATGACTTGCAAACCAGACTCATCGTCGCCTGTCCTAAAGTTCATTTTTTGAGGTACATAAAACAAAGGGAAAAAGAATATTGTAGCTAGGGTTCAAGAAATTTATTTTGCTTGCTTTGTTTTCTTCATGCTTTGTTTTTATTTAGATCTTTATTCTGTTTTGGTTGTGATGTGTTTTTCAAATGGATCAAGTTTAATGTTCTTCAGATCTGTTTTTGGACACCCACCAAAGAGTTTCACCTTTAAAAGCTACAATATTCTTTTTCCCTTTGTTTTATGTACCTCAAAAAATGAACTTTAGGACAGGCGACGATGAGTCTGGTTTGCAAGTCATTGGCTCAGGTAAGCTCAAAGCGGGTTCATCGAATTATATTGCTTCTACGGTGGTAATTAATTCTAAGTCTGGTTCTAGGGCGGACGGTAGACAGAAGACTTGTTGTCACTTTGTAACCTGCTTTCATTCTTTTATGATAATTTAAGCAGTTTCGTTCAAAAAATTAATATAAAATTATATATTCTAAAACCTCAAATTAATTATTCCAAATTTATATACTACGTACATAAATTAAATTACTTTATTTTCATAAAAAAGGAAAGAAAAAATAAGAAATGATTTACTCCATATAATGGAAGAAGAGAATCATGTGTCCAAAAACTATTAATTATGAAATTTTAGTGTCCAATATGAGATACATATGTAATCATAGTGTATAATTTCATCTATTTGAAATCTTAGTGTCCAATATGAGATTCTCATGCAACCGTATTGTCCAATTCAGAATTAAAATACTTTGGCCATTTATAATAATTAAATTATCAATCTAAGCTTCGGTATTTAAAATAAATAACATTAGCAAATAAGTTTATAAAATTAATTGCAAATTAAAAAATGCGTAGAATATTTAAATTATATACTCAACACTATAATAGTGAAATAAAAAATGTATGATCATGGTGTTTTTTTTAATCAAATTTAAAGTGACTTAACTCAAAAAAATTTGGGGTGCTTAACTCAAAAGTTCCGAATATTTAATTATTTTATCTTTTTTATTATTTATCACGCTATTATCCACATGAGTGACTCACTATTTTGTAAGCAATATTTGTCTGTGGTGCTGATCGATCGTGTGTTTGGATATGTATTGTCCAAAACTAGATATAGATGTTTAATTACAACTTCGTATTCAAATTCTAATTGAAAATATTTTGATAAGTTTAAATATTTCTTTCTCGTCAGATTTTAATTACTATTGAAATTTTAATTAACATCTAGCCATCAATCTATGCGGATATAATAAAATTGGACGTATTTATTATTAGTTGTTGGCATTGGAATATACAAATCACAAACTCACATTAAATTTTTTTGTTAGCGGCAATCCATTCGAATTAACCCCGAGTTGATGAAATTCTCTAAAAAATAATCAGAGATATGATTATATTATTGAGTATATTTGTTTGACTTTAGTACTACATTATTATTACATCTATATATGTCATATAAAGGGTCCACTATTCTCCGATCAACATAAATTAATCTTAATTTTGTACTTTATATGTTCAACTTTTATCAAATTTGAGTTTTTTACGATTATATAAATTTTTTAATGCTATTTCTGAATACATAAATTTTATTTATTAAAAATCTTTTTTTGAAAGAATTAAAAATAATCTTATTATTAATGGGGATTCAATAGTGGTTCTCTTTCGAGGGGTGTCCCTATAGATTGCTCATGCAGATAAAGTGATAGCCGAATGGGAGAGCCGAAGAGAAGGCAAATTGCAGAGAATCCAGAGGTGGAAGATATGCTTGCAGGGGATATAACGTGGTTTCGCCCAAATAAAATGCGGAGGAGGCGGGCTTGTGAATTTAGGCTTGCCTGGGCCTTCTTTGAAAATTTGTCGCCTTTTTATTTTTGTCTTTTCATTTAATTCGTTTAGATTTTGTTTTTACCGAGTTGTGTTCACCCGGGGTGACTCTTGTTGGTTTTTTATTTTTCGCACGTGGCAAGTACAACATAGAACAAGTGATCAGAATACATCGTCGATCACGATTGGCTTTCAGTTTCCCAAGTGAGGATTAATGAATCCGCCTATTACTCGTGAGTGAGTGATAGTTTCTGAGTTTGATCCCAAAGCGTATGATCGAGCAATGTTTTCTGGTCTTTCTTGTTTGTCTCCTGTGTTTGGTCTTCTTGTTGTTTGGTTGGATTCCATGATTTTAATATAAATCATTTTCTCTAAAAAAAACAGGGATCAGTTAAAAGTCAGTCAACCATCGTAAATCCAACAAGAAGGAACAAAAGCACTTCGAATTTGTGAGTCATCGTCAGAGATGGCTTAGAAATAATGGTTCATTTTATAATGAATCTTTCTGTTCTAGTACTCTATCCAAGAGTTATCACTATTTATCAAATATGTTCCTGTCTAATGGAACACGTTTACCATTGCCGCTTTGTTCCTGTCTATCGAATCTTTCAGGTACCTCATTTTTTAGAAAGGTACCGGAGTTGTCACCTTATTATATTTCGAATTGCTTTTCAGTTTTTTTAGATTAAGTAATACTCCATTCATCCCAGGTAAAGGTTCTTGTTGGATTTACTAGAACAGAAACATATTTGATAATTCAACTGGTACATTCCCATTGGTCCATGTGGACAAAGGTATGGTACCTTATGGGTACCATAGAATCTACCATATATAGTATATAAAAGCTTAATTTTTACTTAAGTTGTACCGTAAATTTATGCAGAATGCTCGGGTGGCTATTAATAGGCAAAAATACATGTAAATTGTTTCACATTGTAAGGTGGCTATTAAGTCCAGAATAATAGCTAAATATTTGGGGACACGCACTCAATCTTATGCTGATGTCATTCTTGGAAACAGTTTAGTGATGTCACTAATTGATGACGTCATCCTTCAGAATATGAGTTTGTGATGTCAGCGGCAATGACTATGATAAGCCCTGGATATGTTAGAATGCTTGGAACTCCCACGGAAATAGCCAAGTATGAAATTGTAACCAAATCGGGGTGAATCAGGTCCGCTCAGCCTTGTCCAGAGTTTGTAGATAAACTTATAACGTTTTTCACTTTAACATTTCAAAATTTATAATAAATTAAGAAAGTGTGCGAGCAGACATTTTTAAATCATATATCTATATCTACATATAAATTAAATAAAATACATCATCTATTTTACATTTTTACTAGACTATTTACATGTATGTTGCACGGGATGTATATGTTATATGTTTAACTATGTCATTAAATGTCAATGAGACTCTAATGAATAGTTTGACCAACTCTAATTTACATTTGTCAAAAATTTGGGATAGATGTAGAGCACAAAGTTAGTTCGACAAAGTTCGAATCATTTCATACTAACAAAAACACTTATCATTAGATACAGGGTTTTAAATAGCGGCCCGCTACCGCTATAGCGGCCGCTATATAGCGGTTGCGGTAGGGGCCGCTACCGCTACGGCCCGCTATTCCGCTGTGAATTCCAAATCACGGGAAAAACCCGGTACGCCGCCCGCTACAGCCCGCTACAGCCCGCTATTGACATTTCCGGCAGTACGTCACGAACGGGTTGATGTGTAAATGTGTCTATGTTGTGTAAATGAACTCTTAATGTTATAAGTGTTCAAACAAATATTCACAATGTTTGTATTAACTTCAACACTAATTAAATATATGTTTTGCGCAATTGAAAATATTTCACGCCGCTGCAATCGCTACAGTCGGCTACGGGCCGCTACAGGCCGCTACCGCGATGACCGCTTACGCTACCGCTACCGCTGCCGCTACGGCTATTTAAAACCTTGATATTTTAGATATATAAAGATTCTGTTACGTAT